AAGTTGAATGGTTTTTGTTGGGCTTTATTTACTGACATTAGGATGGTACGTTAAGGCGATAAGAACTGTGATCTGGCGTGTAATACATACTAGAACGGGGTACTTGAGGTCAATCAACGTTGGAATAAAATATCGTCTCCTCAAGACAAGAACATCGATATATCAGACTTAAAGATCCGACTGTAAAAGTCGAACAAATTAAGAAAAAATTAAAAGGCGACCCCTAATTTCGGCAAAAAAAAAAAACATTTTCGAAATGCGTCTTGCAAAAATACTTTTAGACTGAGGAGTGTAGAGCGAACTTTTTTCTGGTACGGTCTAATGTGGAAATGTGCATGAATACGTGTAAACATACTACCTACATACGTATATAATATAAAATTTTTATTTTCACCGATGCCGATGCCTTCGAACGGATATGACATAGCTTTATTTTAATTTTTCTCTTCGTAAATTTATCTTTTTTTAGAAAAGGGTGTTGAATTGGACATGGAGAGCAATTTTTGAAATTCTAAGCTGACGCAGATAGCTTTCGTGTTTTTTTTTTTTTGTTTTGGTTGAACCTACTTTTATGAATTATTCAGTTAACACATTACTTTAAGCAAAAAAATGTTATTTGTTCCTTTGCAGGATTACATATAAAATAAGCTTAGAAATTTACAATCCACATTTGCATTGTATAAATTTAAGAAATCAAAGTATTCGAATTACAAATCAACTGATTTAAGCCAAACCGAGGTTTGGCTGACGACATAGTTTTAAATTTACTTCAACATGGACTAAAAAAATATATTTTTTTTTATCCTAAAGTCTTGAACATTACCTACGCATGCATTTTTTCATTTGCATTTACAGGATGGGATTGAATACATATGTTGATATGTATGTACATATGTATATTTGTATGTATGTAGTAAGCGCGTTTGCTTCGCTGTTCAAATTTTTGATTGCTACGATTTCCAGTACGAACGGACCACTCAGCATTTTAATGAGTTTTTTGATATGAAGTCAGTAAATATGTAAATATTATGTTCATAGGTGTAGGTATGTACGTACATACATATATATGTAGACATTGACTAAAATCAAATTCAGCAAAAAAAATATTGTTTTTATATAAAATTTCTGGAAGAACTTCAGCAGGAGCAGCTGCGGGGTTTCAGCTGGAAAAAAGAAAAAGTACAAGTTTGCTTTACAAAGAAATACAACCCGCGACAAAAGATAGCACATCAATATTTCGACCAGATTTGTGTAGTTTTAATCTTTAACGGGCTGATAAGTTTAAAATTGATTGGTACAACCGGACTTGAAACTAAGAAAAAACATGTAAATTCAAATTGTTTGATGTTTGATGCNAATCAGCGGCAACTTTTAGCCACTTGAAACTTGCACATTATCAGACTAAAATTGATCGGGCTATAAAACTGTGTATTCAGAAAAATTCAAACACTTCCGAGAGAAAAGTTTGAAATGTAGGTGAAAATTTGTTGCACTTTTTCGAAGTTTTCTACAAATTGTTAATCTTGGGTTTATATGGGGTTTGTTAGAGAAAGAACTGTATTTTAATTGAAAATTCTCAAATATAAATAAATAAACATAAGTTGCAAACAATATCACTTTGAAATGGCGTGCTATAGATATGACCGATACTGTATGTAGGTAGGTGACTCAACAGAGATAAGACGATGCTGAATTAAATGAAACAAAAGGCTGCCCATGCATATGCGCATATATAAATATAGTACCCCCTCGGTAGTCGAGGCTGATTAAAATCAGTCGTTGTTGCGATTACCGAATATCTTTTATAATAAAATTAAAGAGAAAATTTAATAAAAGGTCATATTTGGAATTCACTGTAATCGGAGACCGATATAAAGCAAACAATTTTAGTTATTTTTTTTTTTTTACTTTTATTATTTTGAGCAAATAATACCGATTACTTCTGCTTTTTTAATTTTTTTAAGGCTAAAATAAAAGTTAAAATTTGCCTTTTATTTTTTTGAGCAGAAAATTGTCGGTAATTTTTGCCTTTTATTTTTCCAGGCAAAAATAAAAGTCAAAGTTTCAAATCAAGTATTCCAGAGTTGTGTATATTCGAGTATGATAGTTTTGAAGCCCCTAAAAAAAAATTTGCAGAAAAATATTTAAAAAAAACTGTTCAACGGAATCACAGTAATGAGATTTTTGCTGCTGTTTTTAACTTTTTTCGAAGATCTGTTTAAGAAAAACTTGAAGAGCTGGGCCAAACTTTACCGACATAGACTTGTGAGGTAGGAGTGGAAAGGTATTTCCTAGCCTTTTTATTTCATATACCAACACATCTTAATTCCACATGGAATGTGGCTCATTTTGTCTTACCTTTCTTTTTCATGCTTTGAATGAGCTTATTTGCAAAGAAATAAAAAGGGTGAGGAAATTCTTTTCCAATGATACTTCATAAGTCTGAATCGATAAAGTTTAGGCTGAGGTTTTCTTAAAGCAGTCTTTGAAAAAAGTTCAAAAACAGCATCAAAACTCTCATTACTGTGATTCCGTTGAAATTTTTTTCTGCTCATTTTTTAAACTTAAACTGTTTGGTCATCTAAGGTGATTTTTTGCAAAAAATACTTTAAAAAACTGTTTTTATTCACAAAAAAAATAAATTTTTGGAGGAATTTTCAAATCAGTCCAGCTCACGTAAATCTTAATATTCTTCCGAAATATTTCGGTGGAAGTCTTAAAAATATAATAGATTTTATAATTCCGATGGAAAAACAGTACCGATTTTTTTTTCTTTATGGGGAGTGATGCAGTTATTGAATTATATATAAGCCCAATATTAAACCGAATCTTGATAAACTACAAACGCAAAAACAATGGGAATTCCCAATTTGCTATAAAGGATGAGCTCTGTAAAAATTGCAGTCTTAACATTCCTAGTAGGTATGTACATAAATACATGCATATGTACATATGTATATACTATCCGATAACATCAATTGTTTATTGAAAGAGTGTGTTTGGAAATCATTAAAACCAGTTTGTTAGTAGTATATAGTTATGTACATACATATCTACTAGGGATGCCAAAATATACGGAACAGTTCGATCTCGGGATTTCGGGATATTGTTTAAGTATTGAGAGAACAAAATTCTCCAGCAGAAAAAGTTCTGAGAATTTAGCAGCATTCGCTCTCAAAGAGACGAAATATCAACAGAAGTACGAGAACGCAAAATTTGCAAAAACTTGCAACCTTCGAAACAGCTGATCACTTGCACAGTTGCCACTGGTGATTAATTTGGCAATTTATTTTCTGCTTGGTGCATTTTCAGCCGATTTGGCATTTTATACAATTGAATCGTTTTGGATAAGAAAAACCTTTTTAAAATACGAATTAATTATATCGGAATGAATAAGTTATTTTTCTCATAATTATTTCTGATATCACATGGGGACGCATTAAAAACAAGAGTATCTCCTCCAAACACCCATCTTTGATCCAAAAAAATGTAAAAGAGTAAGTTTAAAATTATAAAATTTTAATTTCAACAATCAACCTACCAAAACCGAAAACTTCAGCAAAAAAACATTTCAGCATGCTTCATTTAAATCTATTTTGGTATATTTAAAGGAAAATTATGGTACAAACGAAAAATGTCATACGGCAACCATAGTCAGCACGCACTAAAGTAAACAAACTGGAGATTAATAGCAAATTAACGAAAAATAAACTCAACAAACGTTGTGCTTATTAAATTTACGCACTTTTTGTTATATACTAGCATTAGTAATAAAAATTTGCAATAAATAACTCAAAAAGGCCATATTTTCTTTTGTTTATTTACAAACATGTGTTTGTGACCAGCTGATTTTCTTACTTGCAAGTTTTAGCTAAGAAAAATTTTTCCAGCAGAAATTTGCAGCTCTCTTTCACATTTCGCTCTCTCAATTTCCCCTACTTTGCAAGTTTTTTGGGTACGAGAACGCAAAACCTAAACTCTCTAAAACTTTAGATAGTTGGGCGTACGAGTACACTCCTAATGTAAATACCAGGTACTTTTGAAAGTAATTATTAATAAAAAAAAAACATTAAACAAAATTATACAAAGACACATTCTCCCGGATTCAGCGGGTCAAAATACATGGCGGTAGGTGAGTCTGGTTAAAAGCAAACACCAATTTTTTTGTGTCGGTGTTGTTATTATTGCACTTAAAATATGTACGTAAGTGCAGCAAAGTATTTAAATTGGAGTCTTCTAATCTTGACCAAAACTTGATACATAAAAAACCTGCTGATGAAAAACATCTTTCGGCCTCAAGACTTTTAGGCTAAACTGTCAAAAGGTAGTCATTAGCCATTTGAAGATAATGACCCGATCTCCTCCATTATAAAATATTTGAACTTCTTTTACTTACCATCACGTCGGATTAATTATAAATTTTTCGAATTGAGGAAGTTTAGGTAGATTGATTTATAAAATTATGTAACTTTTCCTTAAAACATTATGTTTGGATTACATTAGCGACTCTATGAGTACATTCATAAAAATCTTCCAAAAAAAGGCTCAGGCTGCAATTTAAAAAGTAAAGTTTCAAGCTTTTTGTTAACTGTAGTCAAAACGGCATTTTACAAAAATCATACTTCAAATTCATAAACTAGTTTTTACTAGGTATTAATTCGATATTTCAAATTTTTCGCGATTAATGTTAGCGAATCCCGGGATTTTCGGGACCTTAAAAACACCGGGATCCCCGGACCTCTAGATTGGTATCCCCAATATGTACCTATTTACTAGGTACAAGTTACACGGTCTATTAACCGCTATTAGGAAATAATTAACTTTATGTTTTAATTTTTTTTTGCGACATTCCCATTTGCCTTTGCTAATGTCATCATATTGTATCTATCTAGCGAAATATTTGTTCAATCTTGTTCATTTATCCTATTAATGCCACCACTACTTATGCATTTCATACACTGCGAATTTTATTTATTTTTTCTTAATTGATGTTTACTCACCTGCAAACTTCCAGCGAATAGATTTGTCAGCACAACAGCAAATACAAGATAATTATATCTTTGGGTGCCACATCTGCGTTTACTTTGTGTAACTTGCTCCATTGCAATCTTCACTCTCACTTTTTTGTTTGTTTTTTTTTTTTTTTGTACACAGAGTAGCCGCCGGTATTCTACTCGGCAGAATATCTCCGCGGAAATCAGTATCGCCACAATGTAAATGGCAAATAAAAAATTTTAACTGCTCTCTTAGTAGGTGCAACGGGGGCCAGTACAATACACGAAGTGCATATAAATTCCATTAACTGCTATAGTAAATACATACATGATAAAAAAGGAAGGTTTTTTCACTTCGAATTTTTTGGCGGATGTTGGGATGTTTGAAGTAAACTTACTTCATTTGTATTAAAAACCGGTTTATTTGCGAAATTTACGCGTTTACGAGGCAATTAAGCGTTTAAATGAATACACATAATTTTTTTGTTTTTTCAGATGACCCTACAGAAGTTTAGTACGATATGCATACGTATTAAAAACATATATACAAACAAAAATGCAAATTTACTTTGCAATATATGTAGGAGATAATCGCATATTTTTATGTATGTATGTATATAGCATATATGTATATTTATATTAGACTACATCACTCCCCATACAAAAAAAAATGGTACGGTTTTTCCATTGGATTTATAAAATCTATTAGGTATATTTTAAGACGTCCACCAAAATATTTCGATAAATAATAAGATTAAGCGAGCTGGACCGATTTGAAAATACCTCCAAAAATGGAGTTTTTTATGAATAAAAATGGTTTCTTAAAGATGTTTTTTGAAAAAATCCTCTCATAATAAATTTTGTAATCCCGGTGGAAAAACCGCAACTTTTTTTGGTGATGCGGTCTAATGTATATACTATATACACATGTATTTGCTTTTATGGAATTGCTAATCCTTGCCTAGAAATTGAAAATAAATCTTATTTATGCTGTCTAAAAATAATTAAATCTTTTTATTTAAAAGATTCAACAAATTCGAATTAATGTCCTTCCCATAAAAGTCGTTTAACAATTCTGTATACCGGCATCCTAGCACAGGTATCTCGTGTATGTTTCCAAAGGCCGTTGAAAAAATTTAATGGAAAGTTGCAATCTGGTAGCTATATTTCGATTAAAATGTCATAGTACCTCCAAACATGAAGCATGTAATGTCTTTTGTTCATGACCTCCAAAAGTCAAGTGGAACCATCATTCATGAAGTGGAACTACCTTCTTTTATTATATCATGTGTAAATATGTTTATACACTTGCCCAGCGCCCTGCCGTCAACACACAAACAAGATATAAATATCCAACGCTTAATTTAATATAGTACTATTGTAAAATGCATGAACGATCTGCCTATGCACAATTTTTTATACTCTTATAAGTTTGCGTTTTTTTTTCAGTCTTGATGATGTGGAATGCTTCGCAACGAAATATAATTTTTTCTGTCCGTGAAATGACCATACACGAAAAAATTACTTGCATAAATCGATAATACGGTGCGGCTCGTCGAGGTCTCAATTTGCGTAGCACTCGTTAAACACTCCAAATATCAACTATATATAAGCGTTTGAAGGACTTTCCAAGAGCAGTATGTTTACACTTTTATAAAATTAATTTTCAATAACATTTTGCAATCAAATTGGAAAATAAAATCACAAAAATCACTGATTCCGCAATTATGAACCAAAGAGCAGCTTATAATCGAGACGTTTGCTTTTATCATACGAAACTTTTGTTCACCTTGCTTTTGTTATGAACAAATTCACCTTAGCTGAATAAAAACTGCCAAAGTCAGCGTTGCCATATTTTATTTTATTTATTTAGTAACNTATCATACGAAACTTTTGTTCACCTTGCTTTTGTTATGAACAAATTCACCACAATTGCTGATTAGCTGAATAAAAACTGTCAAAATCAGCGTTGCCATATTTTATTTTATTTATTTAGTAATGCTACGGCCACACATGCTACTTGTACGCTGCAAGTAAATAAAGCGAAGCGCACATTAGTGCAAATCTGACGTTGCGAATCCGCAGAGCTAAAAGTTACAACAATGATAGTCATATACATATATCAATGAGCTATCGCGCGCTTGCACGATTCTGACGCTGCGAGTCCGCAGAGCTAAAAATTACAACAATGATACCCATACATTGAGCTAGCGCACGCTTGCACGGCTTGCAATATTTTGCAGGCGTCAAAGAAGAGGAAGAAAAGTACCATAGCAATATATACAAAGAATAAAATGGTTGATATGCAAAAACTAATAGAAAACGTTCGTGCAATCCTATTTTATATGAAATGGACACGCAGATTACAAAAATATAAACAAAAATCAAGTGTGCGCACGTTTGCGGATTCGAAGTCAACAGCCGAATTCGCACCTAATACTTATTATAATCGAAAAATTCGAAAACGGTCTGTAACGGCAATTTGATAGTTTGACAGCAACAATTTCACTAGGAATGTCAGTGGCGAAATTAAATCGATGTTTTTCCTCGCGTCGATGCACCGAAACTTGCATCGATATTTGTCGATGCATCGGAGGGCGTACATCGATGCATTGATACGCATAGAGTTTTTTCCACTATGGAAATAAAAATTACACAAAACAAATTTCAAACAATTTAACAAACTTTTATTTTAATTATAAATATATATATTATCGTGACTCAAACAAGTGTTCACGTGTTGATTTTTTTTATTTAATTATTCATTACGTCTTTAAAGTAAATATTTGTTATTAGTTTTTATAAAAATATTTTTAATGCATTAACCAAAACCATGTAACAATGTTTCAACTTTATAAAGAAATTAGAAACATTTTTGGGTGTGCAGTTTTATAGCTCATAAACAAGTGTTCACGTGTTGGGTTTTTTTCTTTAATTATTCATTAATATTATTCACCGCTGGTCTTTTGATTTAGGGCAAGTTATTCATGGGTATAAATACCGTATACTTGGAGGAAGATATCCGTCTTATTTATTCCTACCGACTCAGCTAAATCATACAGACCTCTTATACCATGTTCTGACCGACATCGCAAACATGTTTTCGTTGCTAAAACTGGTTTTCGACCTAAAACTTGTGTGTTTCGTCCATGTAAAATCTGTCAAACGAAAACTAGTGTTCGCTGAATTCCAATCGTTGTCTGCACTAGTTTTTTTCGATTATTTATTGAAGTGGAAGTCATATTTTATCATCTTTAATACGTCATTTCGGATTTATTGTTAATTGGCCGGTCAAAATAAAGTAAGCATGGAAGAAAAGGTTGTGAATGAAAAGAAATTGAAGAAAAAGTAATTTGGTTTTGTTTTTGTGTAGCAAAATTGTAAACAAAGGATGAAAGAAATGTCAACGAAAAAACCAACAGTCGGTGTGAACAGCCTTCAGCCCACAATCCCAAAACTCGTTTTCAAGGTGTTTGCGTTGTCGGTCAGAACATGGTATTAGTTTAACTTCCTTCATCTTAAAGACCGTCGAATGTCTGCTAGACCTACATATTAGGGATGAGCTGAGACACGTAACGCAATCAGCCACATGCATAAGAGTTTAGCTTAATCTCAGACTCAATTTTTGCACTGATGAATTGAGCTAAAGCCCAAGAATTTTTACTGAAAATTGAGTCGGAGCTTAAGCTCACTTTTTATGCATGAGGCCCAATGACACAACAGTCAGTTTGCGTATGTCATAGGTAAAGCGACAGATTGCGCCCAACGGTGTTTGGTTGGCAAGGTCGAAAGGTCGAAAGGGACCTCGATTTTAAAGAGGTTGCTTTATGTGCCTTCTTGGACATCAAGGGATTTTTTGATAATACTTCCTACGAATCTATCTCAAAGGCATTGGCACGTTCCTAGACAACATGGGGGTGTTCTTTCTCCTCTACTCTGGTCTCTCGTCGTGGATAACCTCTTAACCAAACTACAGGAAAGTGGTTACGATGCTGTTGGTTATGCGGATGACCTAGTATTTAATTATTGTGTCTGGAAAATTCGGCAGCACTGGATCAGACGTTTTCGTTTACAAGGAGATACAAGCCGAACATTGGTTCAGTTATCCTTGATGAAACAGTGCTTGAATACTTTGACGAAGTCAAATGTCTCGGGTTTACCCTGGATAAGAGACTTAGTTCGAATTCACATCTAGACAAAACTCTTAGCTATGTGGGCCTGTCGAAGATTTCGCTCGAACACGGGGTCTAAAATCCAAACTAATAGAATGACTATACCGAACTATAGTCCATCCAATTGTAACTTATGCCTCTGCAGTCTGATAGCCAAAAACGGTGCAAAAACTTCCGTTTCACGTCTGAACAAACTGCAATGGATGGCTAAACTGTCGGTGACAGGAGGAATGAGAACGTGTCCAACCGCGGCCTTAGAGCTGCGCCTAGGCTGGACCCCACTCCACATTTTTTCCAAAAAGTAGCAGCTTCGAGGAATTTGCAAATACAAAATTCTGACAGTACTTTTAAAAACAAGACACAACACAAAGTTATTTTGAGCAGTATACCAAGTCTAAGAATCTGCGAGTCGTCGACGCTATTCCAAAGGAAATATGCTTTGGAAGGAAATGTCTGGTAAAAATTCCAGACTACATAGATCTCAGATATGTATGTTCACTGATATACAAACGGATCAAAGATGGAGGGCAGAGCAGGAGTGGGTACTAATTCTAGGTACCAGGATACTGCGGGATCGTGGGTAACGACTGTGCCGACGAATTAGTAAGGAAATGCTCACCGTCCGTACTTGTGGAGCGAGAACCGTTTTGCGGACTCAGTTGGTCTTCCTCGAAGCTTAAAATAGAATCGTTGGTATACTCATAACGCAGTACTGGAAAGAGGTAGGGGGTCTTAGACAGGGCAGATTTTTTGGTTATCCCTTCGCTAGGACAGATATATGTACATCTTCTGAACAGAGCCGATATCAAGTTGCTTGTTGGCTATCTGACGGGCCACAATCACCTGCACTCTCACATGCACCGAATTGGTATTTCCACAGAGATGGATTGCTGAGGACACGTCGGAGCATATTATATGTGATTGTCCGGCATTAACCAGACTAAAACTGCAATGATTCAGTTTTACCACAGTCGATGACCTTCAGGGTAAGGAACCATTTATATGTATGTATATACATTTATGTACATATGTATGATTTGTTTAACAACAATTATTTTATATCGATGCTCAATACGTACTAAGCACTCTCTCGTTCTTTTGTATGAATTTTGAATTCAAACAATTTTAAAACTGTAACGGTCTTCGTAATTCAAACTATCAGCCATTAACATAAGCTTCCGCTATAGGTGCCTGGTATCTGTAAATCTCTTTGAAAAATGTATGTTTGCTCGCTATAACTCTTACCACGATTCTTTAACGTAAATGAGCACTGCGCTCCTCTCCCAACGAAGCCATATTTCTGTGGTCATAAGCAATAACCGCCTAAGTCGACATAAGAAAGAATTTAGTTATATATGCTATCGTATATACCGCAACTACTATTCCATGTGTATGTGAAATCCCCAGCTCGCTAGCTAGGCTATTTAAAAAGTTATAGACGAATATATTTTGATTTCCCCATAAGGTTAACATTACAATCCCAATGTTTAAAATGTTTTATCTCTCGAATTCAAGTGTTTTTCGACATAGGCGGTTATTGCTTATGACCACAGATTTACATATGTAGTTACGTATGTCCATGTGAGCAAAGTATTAAATACATGCCTTTGTGGCAGCTCATTTGAGACTACAGCTAACAGCTAAGACCCGCTGAAAGCTTCTACCATTGGCATTTTGCGAGAATCTCCAATACCTTTCCAAATTAACGTTCGCTTTGTTTGGTGGCAAAAATGCGCGGCACTGACGGAAATGGCAGTTCCGAGCGTATGCTTAGTTCACTTAGTACCTCGACGCGGTGAGAATACCGATAAAATACAAAATTTATTTAGCGCGCAAAGAGTAATAATACAAAAAAAAAAAATGTAGCGAGTTGTGTGAGAAAGCCGTAATCACGTTTAAGCTAGGTATTAGTCATCGCCATGGAACAGACAATAGGTAGTGTAGATCAAGAAAATTGTAAATGAAGCGTTGATTTTCTTTGTGGTTGATTATAAAACGGGTAAATACAATACATATAATTAACAACAAATATATAACATATGTGTACATTACAATTATATGTAAGCAGTGAGAAAATATAATCCCAGAACAAGTTTGAAAATGTCTCGTTACACAAAAACGAAACAGAAGCTGTTGCATTAAAATCAGTTCACGTCTGAGTTTTTGGTTCTTTTTTTTTGCGCGCGTGTCATTGAAATAATGGGTAGCATTACCTGCATATATGATATACATACATAAGTTTACGATGCAACAATAAAGCGCAGATACGCAAAACCCCTTTGATTGATCGAAGCCTCGAAAAAAAATGTATCGAACTGAACTTTATTTTATCTATACAGAACATTTCGTATCTATGTATGTATGTACATAATATGTACATAAATACCGCGTGTCATCAATATCGCGTTTGTTTCCTGTGCTGTACATATGTATTTGTACATAGTACGTATGTATGTATGTAGGTAAAATATGTTTTTTCTTGTTTGGTAGCATTTAAGTATATCTTACTTTGTGTTGCTAGCAATTGTACACTGTTGCTGATAATTATGTGTACAAACAATTTTTTTTTCACGGTATTTTTAATTAAAAGCAGGAAATACTCCGCTAAACTTGCAACTCCAATTTAATGGTGAATAACCCTATCATTCCCCTTACCACTTCAGAAATACATATATGTATACACACATATGCCAAATATTTGCAGCAGAGAAGTAAAATTACACACAATTTTTGCTACTGAAGCCTGATTACATTTTTTTTTTAATTAAATATATCGTTACCTTAATTTATAAAGGCCCTAACCAACATTTTTTTCGAAACTGCGTTTTTCACATTTTGATGATATTAAATACAAGTAATTTTTAAGCAAAAAACAAAACTTCAACTCAAGACTTCAAGTCTCATATATATACATATATATATATATATATGATCGGATCTAAACCAGATTAGTATGGAACCACCTCTGAGACACTACCTTTCCGACGCAAAATGATTATCGAAATCGGTTGACGTGGTCCAAAGTTATGCGGTAACATAAATAAAAAAAACAAGTAAGAAAGTCTAAGTTCGGGCGGAGCCGAACATTAAATACCCGGCGCAAGTATTAAATATATGTTTTTTCAGATTTCTTTCCGAAACCTTCTGCTAGATGGTAAGCCGGGGTGTATCAATTTTAAGTAAATTAGCGTCCTTCAATTTCGAAATATTGAAGTTTCAAGCATTTCTGAAATTTACCGTTATATGAAAAGCGGCCGTAATTTTAGTCAGATTTCAATAATTTTCAAGGTTTTGCTTATATTTGGCAAGCACAATAACCACACCGAGTTTTGTACACATTGGTAGAACGGTTACCGATATACTTATATGTGATCATAAGTGGGCGGTGCCACGCCCATTTTCCAAAATTTTACCATAAATGTATTTCTTGGCAAAGAATTGTTGCAAACATCAATTTTGAATAAATTAGCTTCAATATTTACTGATTTATCGAAGATTTTATATTTCTCTAAATTACCGTTATATGGGATGTGGGCGTGGTTATTGTCCGATTTTAAAAATTTTCGGCGATTTTTTATGCTGTACCAAGGTCAACAACTGTGCCAAGTTTAGAAGAAATCGGTGCAGCGGTTANAAAATGTAGACGTCTACATTTTAAGACGTTTTCTAACCGTAAAATCTGTGGTGTTGTTGTTTCCCATACAAAATTGGAAAACGACGCCGTCTACATTTTGTCACACTCAAAGGTATGTTTTTTACGCGTCTACATTTTGCAACCTCGCAGCAGGGTTGCATTATGGCAATACTAATCACATTTTTTTTATTTATTGGGCACGTTTTTTATATGTGCATTTAATTT